CTCTCAGGTACCCAGATCCGATGCCATGTAGGGCTTTATAGGTAGTGACCAGCACCTTGAAGCGGATTCGGAGACTAATAGGTATGGGAAGGCATGCTAAATTTCACGAAGCAGTACGTGCGTACTGGTGCGTACTGGCTGAAACCCACCCCTGCACTAGATATGTATAACCATGGTTGTCTCAGAACTTCTTTTCCACTTGGCTCTTTATTTATTTATTATTATTTAATATAGTTAACCAATCAGCTTCTTTAACAACTTTAACATTCTTCTAAACATTATCTGCTTATTTAATTCACAGAATAGTTGAGTTGTGGAACTATTTCAAATGTACCTGTCCCTTCAGTCTGTGTTTTAAGTTCCTTATTCTAAAATGCCAGTTACCTTTTTGTATTTAATCCTTTTAAAATTTTATAACTAGTTATTTCCATTTTATTTAATCTTTTCTGGATCAAAAGGCTTTAGGTGATCTATTACTCTTTACAGTTTATTTTTTCTACATTATATGTGTTTTGGAAAACACATTGGGCAGACCGAGTGTCCTTAAATAGGTTCTGCATGTCTTCTTCCATGGCTCTTAGCAGGCTTCCCACAGATCCAACACTCTTTTTATTGCAAAAATCTATTCTTTCAGCACAAGTGGATAATCCCATGGTGTCTCCTTGTCCATAGAAGCTCCATTAGCTTGGGTACAGCATCTGGCTGCTAGTCTTTGCCTCTGCATTATCCATGTTGTTTTGTGAAAAAGTGCTAGTCTCCCATGTTTCCACACAGAAGTTCACCCAGCATTTTCTGATTTTTATGAGCAGATCCTTTCACCAGATTTTTTTTTATAATTGGAACAACTGAGACCCCAATTTTTAAGAAGAGGGTTTACACATTTGTACATTTCTAAAATCACAAAATAACATTGGCCTTTGATATGTGCATATTGCAAAACTATACTTGAATGTACTACTTAAAATATTCAAAAAGGGACTCATTAGATTTCATTTTCACTAATGTTATCAACTACTAGGGATAGCTATTTATTTAAAATGTTATCATAATTTCAAAAACCTCCCATGTTATTCACTGCTCTATTATTCTTGCTGCTCCTGGATAATTTATGAAGGGGAAGTATGTAATTCCTATAATCTAGGTCATTGAATATCAAATTAGATGAAGAGTCTGAAAACTTTTCCTCCAGTGGCAAATAAACAATTTTTTAAAGTAGATTTTGGTTCATTGGTATATATTTTAATAGGTAAATAAATAAATAATTAGAAGTTAATGATAGATTTGATGAAAAGGTTAAAGTGTATTTTTATTTGTTTGTTTGTTTGTTTGTTTGTTTGTTTATTTAATTTATTTGCTAACCATCTCCTTTCAAATGACCCTGAATG